AAGTGAAAAAATACTATTTATTCAATATTTGAATATTTAGAGCACAGCTATCACTGAGGATGATTATACTTGAAAACTCAGTGTATTTCTTTGTCACAAACAGTGTCTCAAATTGGGCATCTAAGAAATAAATAAGCAAAATTATCTTTGAAATATGTGCTTAAGGGAGTTAATTGACATCACAAAGAACCCCATGATAAAAAGGGACAGAACTTGGTAATGTCCAAACACTCAGCTAATTAAATGACACTTCTTTCTTCACTCATCTGACAGAATATACATTTTAAATGCTGCAATAAATAAACCTCATATACAACAGCTTTCTCTGCTGTTTTCTTGTCCGACAATTACACCAGGCCCATCCTTTGTTTTGGGTGGGATTATAGTGCCTTAATTAAATAATTAAATGTTTTATCATAACTTGAACATACTTCCTTGTCTTTCAGGTTTCAATGACTGTATAAAGAGAATTTCAGTAATATCCATGGCCACAGCTTTAAAGTAACTTTCTTCTGCAATAAATGGACTTCAATTACCATACATAAAACAGTAAATTAATTTCTGTGAGGTTATTTCACCCTTGTATTTCTATAGCATGCATGTCTTTCCTGGATGCTTCCCAGATTCAAAAATCTGGACCTATTTTCCTAATTTTCCTATCTCTTGTGAGCTTCAGTTCCTTTTTCTCTCTGTCCCTCAAAAAAAGCCTGCATCAAGTAGAACACTTGATTTCTTCCTCAGTAAATGCCTTGGCTATGTCCTGATATATCACACTCCCTTGTGTCTTCTTCTCTTTCATTAATAGTATAAGAAATGATTGAAAGTTAAAACGTGCAGAAATAAGGTTTTGTTAAAGCACAGGAATTCTCAGTGGATGTGTTTAATCATTAGAAACTGATTACAGCAGCTTGGCTTACATTTGTAAGTCTTATATGAGTTCTGTGCAACTTCTTGCTAGATTTGCTTGAGTTTGCTTCCACATGGGTGTAAAAGCTTTTTACTGTGTGTGAGTGGGCTAGTGGTCGTGAAGCTAAATTATCAGAGGGATAACAGCTCTGTGCCTACAACTGCAGCTGAAATTCCTGCTGCTGGCAGCATGCACAGTCTCTGTGCTGTGACAGTCACAGCCACTGGTTTTGTTCTCGGCTTAGGAGTCACTGCCTTTCTACAAGATCGTGGGGGAAACATCTTTCCAGGCAGTTTCCATAATTCTGTGTTCCACGGTGATGTGTCAGTAGCTAATGAATCCAGAGACAATACTTGGCTCTTTCCTTATGGAAGTGTTTACAATTGAATTGTGGTGGTGTGTCATTCTCCTTCCCTATGCTTCTTCTCCCTCTGCTGCCATAACTGAGGAACATGCTGGGAAAAGGGATAAGTGTTTATATTACACACACATGGATCAGTTTGCACAAGCTAGGAGTGATGGATAAGGGCAAAGAGCGAGCCTAGATATGAAACCAACAATAATGACTGTTTTATTGGCTACAAATGGGTGGTCAGAACATGGCAGCCCTAAACAGCTGCTCAGCTTAATGGGCTTCAACATTTTGACATAGTAACCAGTGCAGAATTTTATTCAGGTGTCCTTCCCACTCCAGGAATTGCTAGCATTCCTCTTTTGATAATGGAAATAGATTACTGTTAGGTCAGGATTTGGGGCACGTTAATCTTACCTTGTGGGAAAAGCTACCAATCCTAGTCATAACAAAATAGTCCATCTGTATCATCAGATTTTAAAAAAAACATGTTTTCTTAACATTTTGAGCCTTCTGTTGTCAGGAGAAGGCAAATATGTTAGTTAAGTCACACAGATACAGTATAATCTGGTCATCTGAATAATAAGATTTTTTTAAACAAACTTTAGACAGGCATGCAAGTGGAAGGAAGCAATAGCGCTTTCCACTAGAGCGACTGAAAATACACTTACCTAATTAGAAACTTATAGCCATAAAACACTTATCTGCTTAATATAAAATCTGATTTCAAAACCCCAACAAAATCTAGACTGACTTTTCTGAGTGCATTCCAAGAAAAAGTAAACCTGGTAAGAGGAAGTTCATCTGTATGTAGCCAGGGCAGTAAACTGCAGTAATGTAATAGTTTGTGAAGTTTCCTGAGTTTTAAAAAGTAATGACTGTGAACATGAGAGATTTTTTTCACTGTTTATGGCAATACTTAAATAAACCAAACTTTCTTACTGTAATGCCTATTTGAAAATAGTATTTACTAGTCTGCTTACAAAGCAGTAATATAATCAGCTCCTTGTGTTACCCCTTGAAATAGTGATATCCAATATCATTTCAATGTGCACAATAGGAATGACTAGAAGTCAGAAAAGAAAAAAAAGAAATTCAAGAGTGTAAAACCAAAGTGCATTTACATGCTCCTGGTCTTTCCTACAATAAGGACATCCTACTTCACCCTTTTTTTGGTGTTAAGCATATTAATGAACAGCAAACAAAATAGTTGATAGGTAAAACACTGTGGAACATGAATGAAGCATCTAAATGTGTTGTGGAAATATGCAATAGGAAATACCCTACAGAATATATGAGCTAAATGAGAAGAAAAAAATTATTCTTGAGAGTCTTTTTCCCAAATAATTTTTCATACGTGTTTGAGGCAAATAACATGAAGTTTAAAAAAGATCTGCTTGTCTTATATAGTCAAAAAATCTCCAGATTTATCCTAAGCACTGCTGCCTTTTGGCATGAATATGTGCCCTCTTGCTGCTCGTTGCTAGCAAGCCTCTTTTGTTCAGGATGGATCTACAATAGAGAGGGGAAGTCTCATATGTGTTTCTTGCAAAATTCTTCATCTGTAATCACTGTGATACATAGAAAATGTCATGAAGAATTCAGCAAGTGGTTTTGTCATGAATGACAATGAGGCCTGTAATGATGAGGACTTAAAGGAGAACCAGTTTGAAATGTCCTGAACATGTCAGAGTAAGTGTGATTAATGGAAACAACCCTGATTTTTATATAAGTAAAACAAGAATCTGGCCTGATATCTAAGACAGGAATTTCATTCTCTCTGCATGGCTAGAAACCAGCTTCCTCAACTCTAATTTTTCATTTTCTGTGATTATTGGAAAAAGTGAATTATTTGAAGAAAGTGTAACTCCTCACTTGGGAGGGTTTTCCTTTCCACATCTTCAGAGTAAGTAAAGTTGTGCTAATTACCATTCTATTAATGTGTACATTATTCTTTTAATTTCTCACTAATTAATCTGTCCTTTATGTGTTCATGTCCTGTCATACAAGAGAAGTAAGATAAATATAGCTGATATTAAGACTCTCTTGTAGAATTTTAGACCAGGTAAGAGCAACACATGGTGCATCTGGGGCAAAGGATTTGAATGTCTTGACATTTAAGATACCCAAAATGCTTAAATTGCCAGTCTGTTCAAGCACTGTGGTCCCTACAGGCAAAGACAAGAGACAAGCACTTCAAACTGCTAAGGAGAGGTGGCTCCTTGTACTGACTGGATAGTTTAGAACAACTCAGAGTAAGATTAGTTTAGAATATAATCCTAGCCATAATCTATAATCGTATTTTAATAACCATTAGAATATGGTCAGTTAGAAAGTTAAGTACATGAGTTTACAAGTAGTTATAGTTCTTTTCTCACAAAAGCTTGAGGCTCAACATCTGGCTTGGAACATTCTATCTCTTGCCTGGTGTGGAATCATTCTCTTTAATAAGTATTTTAATATATTGTCACATTTATATTTAAATTTTGGTGACTTCAAGAAGAAAAACTTCTAAAGGCTTGTAGGGCAATTTTGAAAATGGTGTTGAGACTTAGTTTTATTAAAATGTAGTAGAAAGTTTGCTTTAGTAGACTCTGCAAGTGCCCTGTACTTTGGTTTGCAAATACACTCACTGAGCAGCCTCTAGGCACAAGTAACCAGGCAGCAGGAGAGGTGCCAAGGTGTGCTGGGGCAGCACTTGGGGAGGAAGCTGTGACATCTGTGATTCCGCTGCCCACTGTGCTCAGAGCTTAGTGGGAGCAGCAAGCCCTTCCTAGAAGAGAGGCAAATGATCACCAATCAGCTGTTAGTAATGTGTTTTCCCTCTGTGAGAGTAACTGCTTCCTGCTGTTGCCTTCTGCAGAGTTCCAACTAGTAGGCTTAAATTCTAATCTGGGAAAGAATAATTGCTCTAACAGTCACTGAAAAGCTCTCTGCCCTCGCTTAGGATGGTGTTTCCTGTGCCTCTTGTATGAAAAATTCACTTTGTAGTCAGTGTTCCCTTTTACTGTAGCTCAGAATTTCCTGTGTTGAAATGGAAAGAGAGGAGGCTCAATAACACTTAGCTTGGCTATGGAAAGAAGCTTACAAAGTTTGCATCCCCTTATTGGTTAAACAAGATGCAGGTACTGTATTTGACAATACTGTTCTCCAAGGGGAAAGAAGAGAGCTGTTACAAAAATCAGCAACTCTTCCTTTCTCAAATTCATGAAACTAAGTTAATCAGCATCTTTTACTTCCTAATTTAGTTATTTAAATGTTCAGTGGAGATAGATAAGATGAAAGAAAACTCAGGAGGACATCTGTCTGAGTACAAGATACTGATATAAATAGAGAAGCTGGGAAAAGTAGTTGTGAGTCTTTCATTTTCTACTTCAGACAAACCATTCGGAACAGAACTGTGCAGGAGGAGCACTGCCATAAGCTCTTGCTGAGGGAGAAATTGGGGCAGAGCTCAGCACTGTTTGTTTTCATGTAGGTTTAGATAATAAAACACAGAAGGCTGAAAGGGAGATTTGATTTACTATTGTTCAGGAACCACATTTTCTTAGTTTGTGAGCTTCAGCTGTCCCTATGCTTTTACTATAATTTAAATATTTGCTTTTCTTTACATATTTTTCCATCTGTTTTTAACATTTGGCATAATAAAAGGTTTAAAAGTCTAGAAGAGGAGGAAAAAGTGAGTGGCTTGCTGCAAGGAAGCAGAGTCTCTCATTCATTTCTTTTCCCATTGTTTGGCAGGTGGAAAGCACAGATTTACAGAGCTGAACTGGATCAGCTGAAGAAGTGGGGGAAGAGAAACAAAACAAGCACGGTACCAGTGAAAAGAGCTTCAGCTTTATCTTGCAGCATCACCACAGCAACCAGAGAACACAATCAGAAGAAAAGACTAGAGCAGAGAAGGCGAAAGTGCGGCTTCTTACCTTTGGACAGAAGGCAGCAAAATCATTATGCAGAACAGAAATGGGTATTTGATGGTTCTAGACAAACTGTGGCAAAGGGAAGCGTCCTGTCATTAACAGGAATGTGCCACATTTTATGCACTGGAAAGGGGAGTGCCATGAGATCTACTGAAGAGACTATTTCAGTGGCTGCACACCTACATGTGTTTGCACCCCTGCCGGGACTCAACTAGGTGGCTGTAGGCATCGGGGATCATCAGGTATTGGATAGGGACCTTTTTTCCTTTCGGGGTGTACCTGGCACATGAACTAAAAAGCACCGCAGATCTTTTTGTGAGACGCCAACAGAGTGAGCCAGTCTGCACCCGTTCCCTTCTGTACCTGCCTGCTGTACCATGGGATGTCGGCAAAGCTCTGAGGAGAAAGAGGCAGCGCGGCGGTCCCGAAGGATTGACCGCCACCTGCGCTCTGAAAGTCAGCGACAACGAAGAGAGATAAAACTCCTCCTCCTGGGCACCAGCAACTCTGGGAAGAGTACTATTGTAAAGCAGATGAAAATCATTCACAGTGGTGGCTTTAACTTGGAGGCCTGTAAGGAATACAAACCTCTGATTATCTATAATGCAATTGACTCTCTCACACGTATCATTCGGGCTCTGGCCACCCTTAAGATAGAATTTCACAACCCTGACAGAGCATACGATGCAGTGCAGCTTTTTGCCCTGACAGGCCCAGCTGAGAGCAAAGGGGAGATTACCCCAGAGCTGCTGGGGGTGATGAAGAGGCTGTGGGCAGACCCCGGCGTGCAGGAGTGTTTTTGCCGCTCCAACGAGTACCACCTGGAGGATAACGCTGCGTACTACCTGAACGACCTGGAACGGATCGCAGCTCTGGACTACATCCCCACGGTGGAAGATATTCTGCGGTCTCGGGACATGACCACAGGGATTGTAGAAAATAAGTTCACCTTCAAAGAGCTGACTTTCAAAATGGTGGATGTGGGTGGACAGAGATCTGAACGCAAAAAGTGGATCCACTGTTTCGAGGGGGTTACAGCAATAATTTTCTGTGTGGAGCTGAGTGGGTATGACTTGAAGCTGTATGAAGATAACCAAACAGTAAGTGCACCTTCTGCTCCTGGTTCTCTTTCTTTTCCTTTCTCTTTCACCAGTATTTGGTCTTTTATCTCTCCCTCCTTCCCTCCCTCCCAAGGCAGTAATCCCCAATCTTTAGGAAAACCCAGCAGTTATGGTACCTTTATATGGATAGTTTTCCCCACTGGACAGAGTTACTTATTTAATATTACTTTTGGGAAATGGAGGTGCTCTTCACATGACAGCCGATTTATTATTTTTTGGCGCCTTTTAGATAATTGTTTACATAGTTAACTGTTGCTTCAATCTCCACTTAAAAATGTAGGCAGTAGTGACATCCTGGTGTACAGGGATGGTTCATTTGGACACCACAAAGGTCCTGGGAAATGTTGAAGTTAAAATAATAATAATAAGTAACAGTTTTCTCCCCCCTGGATTTTTAAAGAATTTTCAATATGAATTTGGGATGAAATTAATTTTTAAAAATAATTAAACATGTTTTTAAATTAGTATGACATTTTTATATTTAAAATTTTCTTTGACTGTTTTTGGTTAAATGGCCGATTTGCCTTGCCCAAAGAACAGCCATTCCCATTTTATAGTTTTGAATGTTGTTAGCTTCTGGTTTTCACAGCATGCAAATACAGTAGCTATGGGAAATATATGAATGCTTACAGATACACAAATATATATTTGCTATGACTTTCAAATTGCCTGAATTAAGCTTCACAGGGGTTTTATTTGAAATTATTTTTTTTTTGACAGCCTTGTAAAACATGCTGTTTAAGAGAAGGGAGTTTGTGGGTAGGAACACATGATGTCCCCCTTTTCTGTTGCTATAGCTTATCACATATATAATATTTCCCTATTCTTATCTTCTCTAGTGATTCTGCAGTTTATAAACAGCACTTCTATTTTCTTTGTCCTATTCTGATGAGCCATTCCACTGTTCTGTGCTTGGACTTACCCTTCATTATCTGGAGATTCTTATCTTGGCATTAGTGCCTTCCTATTGTAACAGACTTCTGTATCTGCTTTTTGTTTAGTAACCTCCTCTTGACATGTGAGAAGAATTGCCACTAATTCTTTCTCCTCACTTTCAGGCATATTAGGAAAAGTATTTTGCATCTACACCCTGACTAGGAGTTTCTTGCAATTCTTTTGACTTTTCCTGCCTTACTGTTCAGATTTCAAAATCAAAAAGAACTACCTGAAAGAGAAAAAAGAATCAATATACTCTGAAAAATCCCTACAAGCATTGGTCCATACAGGACCAACAACAGTATATACATTGGTACATTACTAGAACTGCAATACTGAGACTGCCACTCATGAGAAAAGCCCTACAAATTATAGAGTTGCAGAGTGTAAACTGCTTCCTGGTGTAGTATCTGTGGTGAAGAGAACTGCTAAATAAAACTAGCCTACTGCCAAACATAACTTACTGCTTGAGAGAGCATGTAAGAATCTGGCTGATTTATAAACTGTGAAAGTTGAGCAAATGATCTGTATGAATATGAAAACTTCTGTGATCTTGTTGACAGAAGTGGAGAAATGCTATGCATGAACTCTGTCTTTATTGAAGATGCGTTAAAGTAATGATTGACAGATATGGTAAAAAATGAGGGGAAAACCAGTTCTGCACGCTGTGGGTTCTGATTATAGCTGAGTCGTGAAGTCTGCTGAGGGTGAGATTGTTGTAGTGACACCAGTGAGCAGAAGGGAGAACAAAAATAATGCCCAAACGATCAGCTGCCTGGACAACTTTTCCTTTGTGTGTAATTTTAAGTGACTAAGTTAAATTTATTCTGCCTGAAAACAAATGACAGAAGGGGAAGGCTGACTTTTGCAAGGGCTTTTGTCTTTTCCTGCTATGCTTTATTCTGGGTAACATCAGTTGTAGGAATAAAATCACCTGAGCTGACAGTTTGTAGACCTGAACAAACCAATATTTTTGCTTGTCTGTTGAACATTTGTGATATTTAGCTGTTCACTAAAGAGAAAGATAAATGAATAATTACGGTTCATTTTTTCCCACCATCTTGTGTGCTCTGTCACTCTGTAACAATATTTTTCCTGCTTATCTAGGGTTATCTGGAAATGTGATCTGTGTCTGGTTTCATTTCTACAATGTCTTGGGAGGTTTTTTCCCTGCTTAATGTAATAAATATAGCTTTAGCATTCCATGCACCATAGCTAGTTAGCATGACTCAACCACGTAACAGCTGCCTCTTCCCTTGACATGGCTGCAAAATTGTAAAATACCTTTGGATTGCTATTGATTTATTGGATGATTATTATTCCTGAGCAGCACTCTGAGAAGGTTGCCTTAAGTTTTTATATCCCATGCTGATTTCTTCTCTATTATGTCAAATAAATTACTTGTTTTGTTTTTCATGGTCCTTAGAAGCTGATTGACCCATTTGATCTTTTATTACATATTAAGATGCCATCTCTGGCTTTTGATAATGTTACATTATCAAGTAATATTTTTTTTTGCCTTCTTGCATGTTCCATGCTGCATTTTGAAGGCACTACCTGTTAATATCTAAGAGTCTCATCTTTATTTCAATTTCTCTTTAAATAAATGTGTGCTAGAGAATGTTAAATTGTACTCTCACAAGTCAGTGCTGCTGCCTGTCCCCATGAAAAGGAATTCCTGCAATTTCTTTGTGAGTGTCCCCATCTGTCCTGCTATACATTCTCTCAGGATGGTTTTCTTCCACAGCCTGTAGCTGCAACAGGGTTTGAGACTATGAGAAACACTTCAAAGATGCAATAATAAAATACATAATGAACTGAATTAACCATGAGTGTATGCCTGAGAGTTCCTGAGGTCAGTAGTCACAAGAGATTCACATGGTGCAGGAGATACCAAGTAAAGGTTGTGCAGGTCTAAAAATGACACTGGTTGAGTAATTTTATAAATATGGATGTTAACAAGTAATTTTTATTCCCTTTCTTACAGCTACTGCAAATGAATATAAAAATTAAATTTTAGGCTTTTTGAGGCTATTAGTATCTTGTGAAAAGGAAGATGCAGATGAAAAAGTCAAAACACTGCAGCAAACAGTTCAGGCTGGAGTAGGCCTCATGCAACACTAATTGCTGGCCCCATAACGGAACCTCTGAATTATCTAATAATAACTGGAAAGCCTTCTGTCAAATGTTAATTGTATGAATTGTGAACAGAAATCCAGTTTCTGCCAGGATTTTTTTTTTCAAGTAAACAACATTGATAACTTTTTTTTCTTCCTTTTTTTTTTTCCCCCTGTGCCAAATACTTGAGGGGCTTATTTGCCTTTCCTGACAATTCAGCTTTTTGAGTAATTCAGGGTATTAAAAATCCTTTCTGGCATGCAGCTCTTTTCCTGCAATGCTAATACTAACAGTCAGGACAGAGGGGAAATTGGGATCTGTGTACCCATAGCCCTCCTAGCACCTGTTATTATCAGTGGTAAAACATCATGTCAGGAAACGTTTTTCTGACAAACTAAGTCACTTGGGAATCCTAGAAGAAGATTGACCTAAACTGTTCCATTTTTTCATGAAGCTTTTCCATTTCAAGACTTTTCATAGTGAAATTTGTGTGGGAGCAAAGCCTAGATGACTTCAGCACTCATGTGTGTAATCCTTCAGCACTCCAAATGAAATTCTAGCCTTTTTGCACTTAACAAAGTAAAATATATAGTCCCTTACCAAAGTTTAACTTTATGTAGTAATACATCACAATTCCAGCCTCAAGACTTGTATCCAAGCATGTACCTTTTAAATATGTAAACAGTAGTAAAATAATGAACAGACATAACAGGAAATGATTGATCAACGGCCAATTTGCAGGTTTTTTACTAGATATTCTTTCAAGTCCGAAGATTTATTTTTGTTTACATTGTTCATTATTACTCCATGCTTCTTATGTGAATATTCTCACACAGAACATGTGGGACAGAAATTTTTCATATTTTTGATTTGTTGCCATACCCTGAACTTAACATTCTATGTAACTGCAGATACTGACAGTAAATTTATTATTTATTATTTATGGGCAAATAATTCTGTCCGTATGTCCACTAAATTATTTCCTCTAATTGGAAAAAAAAGAAGTAATAAATATGAAAATGTGCCACACTATTCAATACAAAAAATAGACTCATTTAATGCCATCATATGATTGCAGGAAGATGCCAGTATCAGACTGTAAAAGCCTGGCAAGCTTTGCTGTGAGGCTTATCTATTTCATGTCAATAGACTAATCCCTAAGACAACCCTGTATTTAAACCTACAGATAAATAAGTATTTTTGTCACTGTAGAGCAGTAGGCTTAGTTAGAAGAAATTCACAGAGACAAAACCAGAAAGACTTTTATCTGTTTTGGAAAACCATGGCATGGAAATAATGGACCTACTGGGTAGTATTTGTCTGCTTTGGTATCCAGGGCTGGTTGTCAGACTCACATCTGAATTAAATGACTGAATTTCCTGACGTATTTAGGTAACAGCAGGCAATGGCTCAACCCCCCCATGACAAATGCCTGAGAGATGATGTAACTTTCTGGTTTTGGTCTCTGTGACTGGCTAGATTCAAAACTCCTAGACTAGGTAAGGTGTTTTGCTGTGATTTTTAAATTAATTCCAAGCATTAAAGCACTAAGGTATATAAAACATCAGGAGTGGCAGAATGCTCCTAACTATCCTATGAATTTCAGGCTCAGAATAGTTCTTAGGTGGAAAGACATGGGTACTGACAAATGAATAAACAGAAGTTAAAATCTCAGTGATCCAGTAACACTGCTGCTCTTCAAACTGTGAAAGAAGAAAAAGACCCCAAGCAAAACCCAGCTGAATTCCAGGAATGCCTATCAGTACAGAGGCAGCAAAGCTTGCTCTGGAAGTGCAGTGTTAAAGCAGCCACCAGTGTCGTACACATGAGCACGAGGCACCTGTCAAGCACTGGGAGAGCTGAAATGAGTCAGAAAGTCACTGCCAGGCAGAGGAGCTGATCATATACACTGCATCATATCAATT